CGTCATCGGATGCTGCAGCGAGGAGCTAGACAAGTTGCTAGATTTGCCCAGATTGGCTATTTCTGCTCAAACTGTTTCAGGGCNAAAGAAAGATAGGTCATTCAAGGCTTCAGCATATTCTGCTCTAAAACCAGCTTGTAGGTTTAGCACAGCTGCAGCATTGTCATCCTGAAGACATTCGGCATCATCTGTGGTAATCAAACATTTGGAACCATCCTTGGCAACAACCGTGTACTGACTCCATTGGTGGTCTTTGCAAATGCATCTATATTTACCATGATTTACATCTCTCGCTACGTTGGTGGTATTGAACATCATACTATCTAGGGTAGCACCATACCTAAAACAAGGGATAATACGTTGTACAGCGTCACGGAATGCACGGTGTTGGGGGGGAATGTACGCTAGAATATTTGCCCGCATGAACATCCCACGGAGCCCCAAGGAGTCTGCAACAGAACTAGTAAAACCAATCACTACCAGTTGAGGTACCTTACGTTGCTTAACCAGCGGAGGGGGAAAGTCACGAGGTATGCTTTGCGAAGTGCCTGGAACGTTAAATAAATGCACATCCTCTGTGATACCCACCTGCCCTACATACCTAATCATGCGCAGCATGTTTTTTGGTGCTAGCGCTTTGATGTAGGCATCGACTTTATAAGGCTTGTACTGAATTAGCTTGGCAAGGTACTGTATTCGTCGTTTCCAGTCACGGGACCGGAACCTCCTCTTCTGGCAACCCCCATTTTTCGTAGTCTTGCGTGCTTCGTGTCTAGACCGTTTGATCGGTCGCGTACCAAAACCATGCGAAGGCAAACCCGGGCTAGGGGGGCATGCAATCTCTCTCTTGGTATTGTAACCATTTCTGACAGTGTCCATGCATGCAATCCAAGAATTCTCCCTCTGCCACCAGTGTAATAGTGTGCCAGACCTATGGCTTTCCGGCAAGTAACGGGGGAGTGTCTCGAGCTCGAAAACCGCAAACTTAGTCCAATCGAGGTCTAGTGTCCTGCCCAACCGATCTCCGGTACCTAAATGCCCCGCAAATCTTGCATACGGATTATCTACCGTGCGTCCCACATATTTCAGACCATTCGACAAGTTCACAATAGCGTATATGGTGACTGTGTTCTTGCGGGGGAGTGGTCTCCCACTATTGCTATCTTCCCCGGATGAGGTCCATATGGGGTATGGCCTACCACACCGTTGGGGTTCGTATGCACCAACAGGGATATTCCCTTTGTCTGTTGCAGTGGCTAGCCANTGGTCTCCCACTATTATTGCTATCTTCCCCGGATGAGGTCCATATGGGGTATGGCCTACCACACCGTTGGGGTTCGTATGCACCAACAGGGATATTCCCTTTGTCTGTTGCAGTGGCTAGCCAGGTGTCTCGTCTTCTCCATAGCGAGTAGCATTGTGGGTGGTTGCTTTCCGACGCCTGTTTCGATCGCTCGTAAACCGAGCGCATTTTCCCGACCTTGGTGTTGGGGTCCCACATGTGATTTGGTCGAGGTCGTTTTCTACCTCTACCTCGATGTTTCCCCATGGCATTGGTGTCAGTATCGTCGATAATAAAATCTTGGTACNCAAGCCGGGGAATTTTTCAACATTCTTTTTTCCTCTCTAGCTGATGACGATGGATAGCACCCTCCCCCTCACGGCTGACGGTGGATATCACCCCCCTTGCTAGCTGATGATGGACGACACCAACCCCCCCTCTAGCAAATGATGATGGATACCACCCCCCTCTCTAGCTGGTGATGATGGACCGCCCCCCGTTCTTCTGTACGACGAGAAAATCACAGGAGCCAGCCAATGAACAGAGAGCGGGACGGGAGCACTCTGCTGCTGCTGCTGTTGGAGCGCCTCTGCTGCTGCTGCTGTTGCTGTTATCTAAAGCGGTGGCGGAAGCGTCCTGTTCAAACAATCAGCAGCAGCAGCAGCACAAGCCGGGGAATTTTTCAACGTTTTTTTTTTCCTCTCTAGCTGATGACGATGGATAACACCCCCCCCTCTGATGACAGCACCCCCCCCTCACGGCTGACGATGGATACCACTCCCCTCGCTGGCTGATGATGGACACCACCCCCCCTTCTAGCGAATGATGATGGATACCACCCCCCTCTCTAGCTGGTGATGATGGACCGCCCCCCGTTCTTCTGTAACAGACGCACGAGCCTACTGCAGGTACTTTTGTGCAACCACCACAAAAAACTATTCCACCTCCAACTCTTAATTTATATCTCTCTTTCGCGATCATCATTTTTTCGACCCCGTTCTGATTTGAAGAAGAGACAAAAAAATCACGATCGACGATAGTGATTTCCGATCCCGGGAGGAAAAGAAACCCGTCCGCTACACTGACCCTTTTGCTGTTTGCTTATTCTATGGAGTATATGTCGCTGTCCGCCAATTTGCCTCTTTGTTCTGTTGCCTCCGTGACTCCCATGCCCTGGACCAGGTGCGTAGTGCCTGGTGCCGGTACGTTGCCCTTTGATTTTTTAGTTAGGCAGGTGTGGGAAGCGTCCTCCTTTCTTTATTAATTTTTGTTTTGTTTTATTTTGATCGGTTGCCGAGGGCTCTTTTCTCGATCAACCGGTCGGTGCGGTAGCTGTTCTTTTCTATCATCTTGTTCCAAAGTGGTTTGTACCCCTTTTTGTTTTGTTTCCCCGCGGCGTCATATGTGCCGGTTTTTGCGACCACGGGCTCCCCATTTTTGGGGATTTTAGAGCTAATAATGCGAGAAACAAAAAACAACAACCTTCCATACGTTGAAAAGAACAAAGTACTTCCAAGTTTGCTTGTGGACATATCGCCCCCAGGGCGCACGCACGCGATTTTTTGCATGAAATAAGTGAGGTAGGGCGAGGTCCCGGTTGAAAGTAGGTGAAGTCGTGGGCGTTAGCTTGCTCCTAGAGATAGACGAAGGTTCTGTCGTTGACACGCTTGTCCACGACTACGTTGAGATGGAAAGGTTGCTTGTTATTGCTGAGAGACGATCAACAAGGGTCTGAGATGGAGTGGGGATCCAACTTCATCTCACGAGGTACACAGAGTAGACAGTTCTAAGGGCGTAGAGGTCAGAAGGGTATACCTCCTGACCGACCCGCATCCTATCAACAATAAGATGTACCATATTCATGCTGCTAGCAGCCACACTCCTTAACACTAGCCCACCCTGAACATCATATATGCAGATTCTATACTCAAATCAATGCTCAAATCCTAAAGCTACAGTAAGATTTAGCTGATGATTTATGATCATAAATCGAAGATATGACTCTTCACAAAACATCCAAAAGAAGGGTGAGTTGTAGAATATCCCGAATCAACCCCCCGCACCATCATTGAGACGAAGAATGCGAACGATCACGAGATGGAACATCGACATCTCAATGACAACTCTTGAAGGCATAAAGCTGCGAAGAATATAATTGCTGCAGAGCACGCTATCATCCTGAACAGACGACGACGGAGGAAACAAAATCAATGCCCAAACGCCACACACCACTCTTTTACGCGCACCCGCGCCTATCACCACTGGAAGGATGAGGGTGACTACCCGAGAGTACAAAATACGGTGACGAAACTCAAAACCCAAACAAATTTCCGAACGAATACGACCTTTGATACTGGACGCGGCGCAAAGGGAAAACTCAACGCAATCTAGGACAACGTCAACGAAGGGCAGGAGAAAAGAACGACAGGCAAAGGCACGGAGAACGATTGCCAGAGTGCCAGGGTACCCAACTCGTATAGGGAGACGGCAAGGGCAAGACCGAATGAGGGCCAGGGACGCAAAGCGCAAACGATTAATGCCAGAGAGGCGGTCGACGAACTGCGCCATGGCTCGCTGGCGATACACATCGTCAAAGACATCAAACACAGAAAACTCGTAGAGATTCACACAACAAGACGACGACTCAGAGACGCGACTGTGAAAAAGGCGTCGCCCGAAGGTGGCGATGATGGAGACGAAGCAGAACGAAGTGTGGGTGACGACGAAAATCCACGAGAGAAGACGACGCCACGGGATGGAATCTCGAAGCACCAAGCGTATGCGACACTTCTGCGGCACGATGGAGCTGAAACAAAAAAAAATTAAGACAAACATTAGTTGGCAAACAGTATAACCGGGAAAACGCGGGGAGCTCGATGTCCAAGTGTCCCGAGGCAAACAACACTGACGAAACTTGGGGAGCTCTTTGTCCAAGTGTTCAGAGGCAAACAACACCGAGGAAACTTCGGAGGGAGCCTGTTGAGCGAGCCAAAGACCAACAACAACAACAAAAATGAAGCAAAGGCGAGAGGGAACGGGCATCCAGGTCGCGGCAGCTCGCTGATTCAGACGAATGCAGGCAACAAGGAAGAAGGATCACTCGACACTGCGTGTCTTGAGGCGGCGTTGCCCCAGCGTCCAAAACAAAAAAGAAGCCAACAGAAGAAAGAGACAGGACAGAAAACAAAACAAAACAAAACAAAACAAAACGGAAGGTGACAGAAAAAAAAAAAATCAAAACGTCGGCGAGAAGGATGGCACAAAAGACCAAAATAGGCCGATTGGTGTATGAAAACGACGACGCTAAGAAGAAATGGTGGGAACAGCCGACGGTAAGGAGTCAGCAAGGAGCGGAGGGCGACCACGGTTGTCGCCCGGAGGGCGCGAACGATGTTTCTCTAAACACCATGATCCACAGACGGCGTCCAAGGCGGTGGAGTAGAGGCGCGCAGGCAGAGGGAGAACGCTTGGGCCCGGGTCATCCAAGAATCGAACGATGTACGAGCCGCCCTGATGAGCACCAATACGTCCGGTCCACCACAATCCATCACGGGCCTTGTACCACAGCTGCGCGCCAACAGGGAGGGGCGAAAGGCTGAAACGACGAAGCCAAGTCGTGTGAAGCACAAGATCAGCCCCAGGAGGCAAATAGCGTTCTCCACGATTCCGGGCTAGCTCCCGCTGTGCCGCGCGAGTCCGAGCCACTCGATATGTACGGTTACCCTGCTTGCTTTGGCAGACCTCCCGGGACCAGTACAAGAGGATGTGTCGACGGAATTGATCAATGTCGGATTCCCGTTCCCATGAAGGAGTAGTCAGGCCTAACCAATGCGTCTGGTACAGGACAGCGAGAACGCCGCTGCGGCCCCGCACCAGTTAGTGTCCCAATATGTAGTCGACCTCGAGGCGCCCGACACGCACCGACACATCATCCGCGGTGACGTGGAAAGGTGGACACTTACCTCCGAAAGAGTGCAGAACACAACGCGAAAGCTCGGCGGGTAGAAATTGCGGCAAGTCGTCCGTCTCGTAGGGATTACGACAGGGCTTGCAACGACGGACAGACACGCGACAACGAGCTGCCGGGACGGAAAGATCGGAAGGCAGGTCCAGGTAGAGGAGTTTACGCGTCAACGGGCGGCCGTCCGGAGTGGGGTCGGCAGAGGCGGGACCCACCGCAAGAACTTTGTAGGGCCCCGTCCAGGAAAGTGCAAATTTGGCCTTGAGCACCTGTTGGTCCGTGTCCTTCTGTACACCCTGTTGTAGCAGCCGTATTGTACACCCAAGCCCACCCGCCAACGGTAAACTGAGGGAGCTTGTGAATGGCGTCCAGCAGGGATGAATTGCGGCGTTCGACTCGCGAAATCTTCAGCGCGTTGTACTCACGGACAAGTTCGTAGGCCCGGCGCTGGCGATCGACAGCCAGGTTGCAATACTCGAGTTGATCGCGGGCCAAGCTTTGATGACCACCTACCGTGGGATGATCGAAGACCGAAAGCGGGAGTCGCGGGATGCGTCCGATGTGGATCTCGTTTGGCGCTAATCCAGTAGACTGGTTCACGGAATCGTTGTACAAACTCAACGTGCGGGAGATGTACGTCCCAATCGTTTTGCTGTTCGTTGGCGACCACCGACAAGCATCTGCGCCATCGCGTGGTTGACGCGATCCGTGCCGCCGCTGGTCTGTGGGTGGTATGAGCTGGTAACCTTCTTGATCTTCAGCACCTCGTAGATCGCAATGGAGAGCTTCGAGCAGAAATGCAGTCCGTTCTCCGACAATGACGTACTCGGACATCCCCACTTGGTCATGTATTGGTTGACGAAGAGGTGAGCCGTCCCTCTCGCCGTAAATTTCGCCGCTTTAACTGCGAACATGTCGGCTCTGCGACTGAAACGGTCTTTGAACAACAAAATGTAGGAGTTGCCCTTGGCAGTCGCTGGCAGAGGTCCGAAGAAGTCGACGCCGACGACCGTACCAGGTCCCTGCGCAATGGCATAGCGATGACGGGCCACCGAGCAGTCTGACGTGAAGTCTTACGAGCCTGACACACCAAACACGCCCGAAGCCTCCAGCGCACGGAACGATCCAAACCAATCCACCAGTAGAAGAGCTCGAGCAGACGCTGTGTACGATGGACGCCGAGATGGAATGACGCGGCGGTATGGCATGCATGAAGGACCTACTGACGCATCAGCATTAGCACGTAGACACGGGGCACGCCAGTATCCGGCAGACGAGTGGTCCTGCCGCCAGAGCGCCCAACCGGCAACGGCGCCGACTTATGAACGAGGAGGGTAATGTTGTCGTCGGTCGTGTGCAGTCTGGTTTTCGCCGCCAACACAAGCACATCATCTAACCGAGGGGAGCGAAGAGGAGCACTGAGAGTGAGCAAGTCCGGAGGGGGTAGGGAGGGAGAACCGCGAGACAAAAAACGCATAGCCACCACACACTCGCTCTCCCGCTGTTGTTCCCTGGCCTAGTCCACAGTGCTGAACTCTCAACACAAGCCCGCAAGTGGGAGGTGTCCACATCAGAAGGTTCCGAGAAAAAGTCAGGCGATCCAACGGAAGGGGCTGAAGAAGGCGAAGCCTCAGCGACTGGGGCAGCCGCAGTCCGTGGTGATGCCCGCGAAGGGGACATCGTGAGGGGCGAAGTCCCGGGCGAAACCTCTAGAGAAGGCGAAATCGGGGATGCAGGGCGCGCTGNGGTAGGGAGGGAGAACCGCGAGACAAAAAACGCATAGCCACCACACACTCGCTCTCCCGCTGCTGTTCCCTAGCCTAGTCCACAGTGCTGAACTCTCAACACAAGCCCGCAAGTGGGAGGTGTCCACATCAGAAGGTTCCGAGAAAAAGTCAGGCGATCCAACGGAAGGGGCTGAAGAAGGCGAAGCCTCAGCGACTGGGGCAGCCGCAGTCCGTGGTGATGCCCGCGAAGGGGACATCGTGAGGGGCGAAGTCCCGGGCGAAACCTCTAGAGAAGGCGAAATCGGGGATGCAGGGCGCGCTGCTGACGGCGAAGACACCGGCGGCGCAGGAGCAGTCGACGAAGACGCCGATGCCGACGTTGCGGATGGCTGCAGCAGACGCGCGGCGGTCCGGGTGGTCTTGTTTGTCGAGCGGGACCTGCTAGAGCGACGGGCAGGCTACGATGTCCGAAGGATGATGGTAGCCCGCGGCTGTCGTCCGAAGTAAGCGGGACCGGTGACGGTGCCTCCGGAAACAGCGATAGTTTTGGCCCGAGTCGGTGAAAAAATGAGCGGTCCCCGCTCCGGAACCGAAGACAAAACGTGCACATATCTAGTCGCCAAAGACGCGGCAGGAGACATGACGCGGGACTCATCCGAAGTCAATGGGGAAGCAGGCCTTGAAGATGCGGGATCAGGCGAGACGATGAAGACCCTCGGGGACCGCCGAGAATCCTCGCAGGCAATCGTTGAGTCCGTCAGAGCATCCAACCGACGCGGGTGATGTCGGTGAAAATCCCCAAAATCGGAGGGCTGCAACGCTGGGGGCGAAAAGACTCCCGCCGGGCAAGGAGGGCGGAGCCCACCCAAACCGACCTCCGGCGTAGACGACGAGTGATAGTTGTGCCCGCAAGCTCGAATGAGGAAAACACCCGCTTGATCGACACCATCAATGCAGTCGGGGCCGGTTTTGTCAGTGTCTTGTGCTGGTAAAGGCAGCCGCGAAAGAAAATCCGAGTTGCCGTTTGCCGAACCTTTCCGATATTTCAGGGTGAAGGTGAAGTTGGACAGGAATTCGAGCCATCCTTACACCCTAGCGTTGTAGTCCCCAACCTTGCCAATTCTCTCCAAGGCTTTGTGGTCCGAATAGATGATGAACTTGGTCGACCACAGATAACCGCGAAGGCGTTTGATGGCCCAAACAATGCCACCAGCCTCCAGATCCAAAACGGTCCAGTTACGCTCCGCAGGAAGAGTAGCGCGGCTGATGTACACGATGGGTCTCACCGAGCCATCGAGCTGTTCTTGTTCCAAGGAGGCGCCAAAGCCGTCGATACACGCGTCGGAACACAAACGAAGAGGACGGCTGTTGTCCTCGACTGCTGCCCAATCCGGGAAGACCAAAATCGGGGGGCGAGCGAGTTCGCTTAACAACGTTTTGACAACCTTGACCATGCCCGGGGTGTACTCGAAGGGGACGCCTTGTTTGAGAAGAGAGTTGAGAGGCCGCACCTTGGTGGCGAGATTTGAGGAATTTCCGGTAGTAGCTGAGTCCACCGAGAAGGCTCCGAAGCTGCTTAACATTCATCGGAGGCGGCATGTGCGTGAGCGCCCTAACCTTAACGCCATCAGGGCTAACACCNAGGGGCGAGCGAGTTCGCTTAACAACGTTTTAACAACCTTGACCATGCTCGGGGTGTACTTGAACGGAACGTCTTGTTTGAGAAGAGAGTTGAGAGGTCGCACCTTGGTGGCGAGATTCTTGAGGAATTCCAGGTAGTAGCTGAGTCCACCGAGAAGGCTCCGAAGCTGCTTAACATTCATCGGAGGCGGCATGTGCGTGAGCGCCCTAACCTTAACGCCATCAGGGCTAACACCGGCCGGAGAGATGGTGTGACCGAGGAAGTTGGCGTGCGTGGCGCCGACGCGAGCCTTCCCTGGAGACAGTTTGAGGTTGTACAGTCCCAGTCGTTTGAAGAACTCGACCATGTTCAGCACGTGTCCCAGAGGTTCCTCATCGAAACATATGACATCGTCCAGATACGCAAGCACACGCTCCAGACCGTGCACCACTCTGTTGATGACCTTGACGAACCGAGACGGACTTGCGTTGGCTCCCTGCGGCATCCGAATCCTTCGAACAACTGCGTGGGAGTGCAAAAGGCGGTGAGCGGGACAGTGTCTTCATCACAAATGATCTGGTGGAAAGCCGAGTTGAGGTCGAAGATGGACAACACTTTCCCGGTGTACAGAGAATCCAAGATACCGTCCACTCGAGGGAGAGGTTGTCCATCCAAATCCACCAGAGCGTTGAGACGTTTGTAGTTGACGGTGATGCGAACCGATCCGTCCTTCTTGGGGATGACAAGTAAAGGAGAAGCCCACGGAGACGTGGAATGTTGGATGAGGCCTGCCGCCGAATACTGATCCAAAACAGCATCCACTTTCTTTTGCGTCAACGGATTGATACGATACGGGCGTGATGCAACGGGCTTCGTCCCTGCTGGGACAGAAAGAGTAAACGGCATCATGGTGCAGGAACCAAAATCGGTTTTCGAAGCAGAGAACACGTCAGAATACTCCACAAGGGCGTCGGCCAAACGATCAATAGCCTCCGGTGTCCATCCCGGATTGTGTAGATCGAAAGCGATGTCGTGCATATGTGCGGGCAGCCTAGTCCACAACCGCATGAAGCTGGAGCGCTGTGCCTCAGAGAAGCGGTCGAGTAGTTCTTGTGGAGGCGGCTTCGGAGGAGGCGGGGCGGAGGCTGGGTCCGGAGAGCGGTGAGTCCCGGACTTGGGGCCAACGACGTTAACCTGAGGTGGTAATGTAGATGTTGTGGGGCCAGTAGGAATCGAAGATGGTGCCGCCTTCAGGGTTTCCACCGGTACTCGTAGTAGCGGCGCGGCAGACACTCCAATAACGTCTCCCGGCTCCAGCTCGGCACAACCTGCAAGGGGAATACGCTGGACACCATTGGAAACGAACTCATCTGGGGACGAAAGCGCACCCACTTCGGGTTTGAACGATACCAGATACTCTCCAATCAGCGCTGGCATGCCAGAAGAACGAACGACGTCCACCGCAACGAGTGCAGGCTCCGGTCCCAAGGAAATTCCCGAGCTCCCTGCATATGTAAGGTGAAAAGAGGAGGCAGGAGCGTCGTCGTGTGTAGCGTAAACGCAAGCGCCACCTGTAATACGCGGAGAGAGCGTGAGCTCGCCCATAACCCGGCCGTCCTGTCCAGGGTGGGGGAGGGTGGTGAACACACAAGAGTTGAAGCGCATCCAGCTATCACGACCCAGAAGCACGGCGTGCCCCATGGCGGCGTCTGGAACAACATAGGCCCAGACCGCCAAAGAAGCGGTAGCTCGATCTCCATGGAGAAAAATGACGGTGAGACGAATTGACCGGGTGGTCACAAGGGCGGGTCCATCACCAAACCCACCCCAACGACGAGAGGGCGAAACACGAACGCTGCCAGCTGTCAGGGCTCCGGCAGCTATCATGGCGGTGACCACGGAGTCGGAAACGAAGGATGCAGGAGACCCAGAGTCCAGAAGCGCCACTCGCGCGAGTTGAGANGTGGTCACAAGGGCGGGTCCATCACCAAACCCACCCCAACGACGAGAGGGCGAAACACGAACGCTGCCAGCTGTCAGTGCTCCAGCAGCTATCATGGCGGTGACCACGGAGTCGGACACAAAGGACGCAGGAGACCCAGAGTCCAGAAGCGCCACTCGCGCGAGTTGAGAAGTGGCTGTAGGTCCTCCATGTAGCAGGACCCGGGTGGTGTATGAGTCCGAGTGCAACAGGAGCGTGCCGCCGACCAGATCGGGCCCATGTTCGAGAAGAGGAGGCTGGTCTGCACAAGCGGAGGTCGATGCCACCAGATGAACACCAGGAGCATGGTCCCCCGGAGCGTCCAAACGGAGACAAGCTGGGTCTTCGCCCGGGTCCTCCCGTGACGACGAACCTGCCGCAGTAGCAACCTCATGGATGCGTCGACGTCCATGGAGAGGAGGCTGCGAATAAGGGGGCGTGGGAGAAGTGGAAGCGGGGAAATCTTCACCAGACAGGGGATGATCACACACAAGGCGTCGAACTTCCATCAAAGCTTTTCCCAATAAGTTTTTACCGCTAGCCGCCCACTTGGATGAAACGCCTCTGGAAAGCATGCAGACATGCCGATACCCCAAACACGATCGAAGGGGCTGACTTCCGCAAGGAGGCGGGTACCCGTCTCCAGTAGATGATGTTTCATGTCATGGTTTTGAGCAAATTTGGCGTACGACCCCGTAAGCACGATCTCTTCACGACGACGCTCCCATTCAGCATAGTCGAAAGGACGCACGTTACGACCCAAAAACTTGTGTGTCTTACGATCTGTTGCAGCCATAATTTTGTCATACGACGTCATACAGTATGTATGTCCAAACAACTTCGCTTTGTCAGACATCATGAATTACTCACCACATGAATAACGTACCCCCAGTGCGTCAATAGCCGAAGGAGTCCATTGCGAGGACACAGACGGAGGTTTCCAGAAGAGAAGGACGTCATCCGAAGCGTACTCGCACTTGTCATCAAACGGCGGAGCCTGTGCAGGGCAAAGGGGCAAAGGGACCAAGAAGACGGGTCCTCATCTCCGACGGGGAGGACCCAGAAAGCGAGGCAGGCGCGGGCGAAGTCGCAACACTCCGTGATCCGGAGGGCGGCCTTAGGGCGGCGGCTCCGGCGGGGTCAATGTTAGCAGAGGCCATTCGGCTATTAGAGACCCGTTCGTTAGGAGAAGTCATTCCTGCAACAGACGGATGTTTGATCATTGACGCAGGGCGCTCTTGACTACTCCCCCTTGACAAAGGAGCCGAACCTTCCACACAATGGTGGGTACTACCATCCGATCCTTATGGCAGTGGTGCAGTCAGCACGTGGTGGGCAGCAGAGGAAGACGCATTCGTATCAGGTGCTGTCACACGGGGGCAGCGGACGGTCGAAGACAACGAAAGCTGCGAAAGAGAAGGAGGATCGACGGGTTTCCCGACGAGTGTAGACGAAGGCTCGTGTGCGATCCGAGAAGAGGCCCGGCTGACAACACCAGGGGAGTCTTGACGAATAGTAGAAGAAGAGGTTCTTGTTCCTTCTGTAACCCGAGACGACGAGGTGAGCAGGGATGGACCGCTCGACGTCTTACCTCCCTGTCGCCCACACCACAAAGGTACTGCCGAAATGGGTCTCTCATGTCCATTACCAGCAGACGATGAGGCGGACGACGAGGAGGCGGGCCGAGAAACTAGATGTGGTCGAGGAGCGTGGGGAGTATCCAAAGAAATAGGCTGTACATGAACGACTTGGGAGACTCCAAAAGGGTGCACGGTGGTTGCTGTTGGGAGTAGTACCGGCTGAACTCCGCCGTCGGCTTGTCATTTCTTACCCCTCCAGCCCCTTTTACCCGAAGTGGAAGCCTCCGACGAGAGCTCTGTGTGTGAGGACTGTTTCGTGTCCGATGTGTCAGATGAGCGGCGGGCGCGTCCTAAGGGGTGATTTCGATGTGGGTTGCGTCCTGTAGGGCGTCTATACGAGGTCATGCGCTTTTTCCACCGACCCCAAAGGGTGGGATCTTTTTCCATACAGAACTTGATGTCATTGTTAAGCAAGCCGGTGGCGTTCACGAAACCACGATTACAGGATTTGAAGGAGTGGTCTTCTCCCAATCAGTTGAGGCACTTGCCCTTGTACAGTCGAAGCGCGTTGCGGCGCTCTTCAGCCGAGACCAAGGGGGTGAACAATGGCGGATCATTCTTGGTTAGAGCCATCTCACTAGCGACATTGTACATCTCTTGGAAGTGTCCTTGCAACGGCCAGTCACTGTAGTGCAACAGACAAGGGTCCCGATCATCATTAGGTAGAGGGTCAACACTCATCACGGCGGCCGAAGAACCTTGGCTCCACGAAGGGGTCACCGTCGAACGCAACGCCGAAGAAGCTACAGCACGCGAAACAGCAAAGGAACTCCTAGCATTCGTGGAAGATACCGAACAGAAATCATCTCCATGCACCGCCGGCGTGTGCGCGAACGCACGCTTGTCCAACACATCCCACATATCATCCAGACACGAAGCATGTCGCCCAAAAAGGGCTTCCATGGAGAGCTGCTCATCCTTGTACACCTGCCCAGACACTACCGGAAACTGCTTCAACATGGAGTCTCGAACAGCTATCTGCAGTTGCGCATCCGAAGGCTTGAACTCGTGGTGGGAAACCATGACGATCATGGCCAGAGCCTTACAGCGACGAATGTTTTCTCCGTAAGTCTCGCCTTTGGATATGCCAAAGCTGCGAAGACGATCAATCCCCGAGCTCTTGTCTTGAGTGTCCCAGGCGGCCGCCAATTTCTGGATGAAGCAGGCGTACGTCGAGGGCCCTGCTGGTTCCTTGCGCAGATGGTTTTCTATTTGTAGGAAGGTGGCATCAAGAAATTCCAGCGTGGCACGGTCGGTAGTTTGGCCTTCAACGACAGCAGCACGGACACGTTTGCGCGACAACGGGAGCCATCCGGTGACCCAGGTGGAGGAATTGAAAGTCTGCTTGCGCTTGACGTCGCTTTTGTTGAGGAGAGAAACGAGCAAGTTCATCAGGATCAGGACCGAGGGGCAAGCGTGCGACACTATCAAGTTGTTCCGGCTTCAGCTTGTCCATCTTGTCTTGAATGCGGATGGTGTCGGCCTCCACTGCAGCGGCGTCCGCAGCGTCCAGAGCCTCCTTCCTCGCTCTCGCTCCCGTGGAAGACAAAGGCAAACCAGCATCGTCCTGAGTCAACGGCGATGTCGCTTGACCCAGTGGCTCGACGATGTGGCCGGTCGCAGAGCTAGGATCAGTGAGAACAGACGCACGCTNTCTTGAATGCGGATGGTGTCGGCCTCCACTGCAGCGGCGTCCGCAGCGTCCAGAGCCTCCTTCCTCGCTCTCGCTCCCGTGGAAGACAAAGGCAAACCAGCATCGTCCTGAGTCAACGGCGATGTCGCTTGACCCAGTGGCTCGACGATGTGGCCGGTCGCAGAGCTAGGATCAGTGAGAACAGACGCACGCTGGAGGGGGGGGTGTACTCATAGTCGTGCATGCCGTAGTCGTTAGACCATTGACCTCGCATCCCTACAAAGCCGGGACGGAGCACGCCGGGTTCTCACCGGACCAGGCTCTCACATCACCAAGCGCGAAGCGCCGTGAGATATTCGGCGAGTCGCATGAAGGGTGCGCTGCATCCTGCTAAGGGTGTTCGGCATCTTGTGCTTACTTCCTTGCGTACGGATGACAGCTGCGTATGACTTTATTTACTTTCTCGTGCTTTTACTTCGAGAGACAGTTGTAAGCACCGTGTAACTGCCTCGAGGGTGCTTGGCCATTTTAACACAACGTGGTGCGATCATCCCCCTTGCGCGGAGTGAGGGTTCTCGACCCCGCAAAACATGATCTACTCGACCACCATTATGGTTACCGCCTAAAAAAAACAGAGGAAAAAGAAATAAACGGTAACCTGGTTGCCGAGTTCACGAAGTGAATTGGCTTGTT